AGAAGACTCTAGCCTTGAGTGATGTGTTACATGTGCCATTAATCAAAGCTAATATAATATCTATAGCACTGCTATGAAAAGTTGGATTTAGCCGAAGGAGAAGATACAATTATTGCGGTCGTTTCCAAATAAATCTTATGACAAATGTGAGCAAATGAGTGGTAGACTCTAGTGCTACCCCACTAGTAGGGATGCAAGACACATTTGTGCAAACAAAAGTGTTTTTACCTCCCCCACTAGTAGGGATGAAGAAGAATATGAGTGATGTGTTACATGTGTCATTAATCAGAGCTAATCTAATCTCTAAAGTACTACTGAGAAAAGTTGGGGTTAAAATGTCATTCGAATTTGATAATTTTGTTATGTTCTTCTGCTTATATTATTGATTCATATGATCTGTGGCATGCTAGACTAGGACACGTGAATTTTTCGTATGTTATGACATTGCAACGATTAGTATTAGTTAATATGCATGATAAACAAAATAATAAATGTGATATATGTGTAGAATCTAAAATAACCAAGAAAAAAATTGTCAATCTGTAAAACGTCGATCCAACGCAGTTAGCCACATAATGTAACTTGGGTCACCACATATTTCAATAACTTCTCGCTCGAGCGAAATTACCCACCACTTGAGCGAAAAAACACCCGAGATTACTCATTAGTTTCAGGTCTCCTCGCTCAAGCGAAGGATTTCTCGCTTCTCGCTTAAGAGAGAATTACATCGCTTGAGCGAAATTAAACCCCACAATACCAGTTAGTTCCAAGTCTCCTCGCTCAAGCGATAGATTTCTCGCTTGAGCGAAAGTACCGTGAACAGTAAAGAGTATTAGTTGGGTAAATAATGTTTCAAATGTGCTATTTTGAGAAATATTTTTAAAAATAGTATTATTTATGAAAAAAAGTCTCATTTATACTTATAAGAAAAAGTAACTATACAAATAAAGTAGATTTTTATTAACATTAATTTATATAATAATATATCTATACCATAATTTTTATTTAACATACTCTATATATATATATATATATATATATATATATATATATATATATATATATATATATAATATGTGACACGTAAATTTAAATTATAATTATTTATTAAAATGCTAAAAATAATTATTTAAATATCTGTTAAAATATTGATTATAACTTTAATATCTTATATAAATTTTATAATATAAAATGTAGTTATATAAATAAAACATAATTTTATATATATCAAATATTAGATATAAGTTAATTTTTTTAAAATTATAAACAAATTTAATGAAAAACTATTATTTATAAGATATTTTAGTATTATTTAATTTGTTATCTTGTATATATCGAATATTAGATATAATTATCGAGCTTCGATATTATTTTCTTGTTATATTTAAACTAATACTATAATACAAAATTTAGCGCAACTCCTGCTTAAAGAGGGTTCCATTCCATTTAGTTCAGTCGTAATATTTCAGAGGGGACTTCAATTTTTTTTTCTTTTTAGAAAAGAAAAAAACTCCAATGTTTTAACGCCCTAGTGAAGCTGGCCCAAAATGAAATAGGTAGGAAAACTTAACTGTGGTGTTTTTTCTATCTATACCACCAAATTTACTTAGCACACTCTATTAAATATACCCTTTTAAACCCTATTTTCTACACTCCCATATTTCTTATTCTTTAAATTCATTTTTTTTACTCTATTTTTACTATTCTGTAAACCCAACGTCCAAACCTTCATCTCTATTTGTATCCATTATTCTCTAAACCCTGCATAATATGGTATTTTTCATCAAGTTTATTCATGTTATGCATTATGCACTCACACATCCATGGTTGACTACTAAAGGGTGAATACGAATTTCAAAAATTCACCTTATTCAATCAAAGAAAAAGAAACAACTATTATAAGTTAAAACAAATATAACTCATTTAATTTAAAATAAAATAAATTTGAGTTGGATTGATTTTTAATTTTTAATAATCTAATTTATTTTACCTAATTGTTAAAGATATATGTTATAAGGAAGTAAATTTACATAATTCATTTGTTTTGATAACTTAAAAAAATTTAAAATAAAGTTAAAATAGATAAATACTTAAGTGAGTCAACTTATATAATTAATATGATTATCTTGACTCCTAATTATATTACTTCTTTTTTACACGAAGAAAATAACATAACCATTAAATTAAAAAATAAATAATAATCATATATCAAAACTATTTGGATGAAATTAGTTCTCTTCTCACTTTGTTTCATCTGTTAGGAATTTTGAGTGTAGATTAGTGGGTTAATCTATTGTGTTGAATAATGATTGTGGTGGATCTTAAAGTAATGAATGGGATTTTAATTTGGTTTTATTTTTTTATTTTCGTCAATAAAAAAAACATTTTAAAATTTATATATGTTGTGCTAGACAGTAATCTACCAAAAGTAATGAAAAAAAAATGTTATAATAAAAGAAAGTGGTGTGAATAGTAACTCCCTTCCCACTAAGCCTAAGTCCCATAAAAATATCACTCGCTAAGCGCATACTTTATGGTAGTCTAACCTATTCACATAATAAGATAACTTAAACTACAGTTCAATAAATATAAATAATTAATATTTAAAAATATTCAAAAATATAAGTGATTTCTAAAGTTTAGGATTATATTAATTATTTTTATATCTATTATCTCAAATCATAAACTAAAAAATAATTAAGCCTATGAGCTTATTCTAACTGTTCATTTTTTATTTAGTCCGCTTCAAAAATAAGTAATTAGGATGTCAAAATAGATTTAGAAATAGGTTAGATTAGACAAACAAATTTGTGGCCTAAATTGAATCAAACTTATTTTGGTTCACTCTATTTAGATCATAACTTAGATGACCTTAATAGAGACTAGTATGCAAACTTATGGATTGAATATTTGACAAGCATATCAATATTATCAATTGCATTATAGTATTTTGATTAAATAAAAATTGATCCCACGATGAACGATTTTAGTGAAAATTCTCAATCATATGTTAAAACAAAATTAATTGTTCATAAAGATTTGAATTGAAAATAAATGACAAAGAAATATAAAGTGTACATAGAAAAGATCAAATTTAAGAATTTAGGATTGACTTCCTTCATTTTTCCTCTTTTACATCGTATCTATCAAATGACAATGATAATCAAACAAGACAACAATATCAACATTTGGGAATAACCACACGACATTCCCAATTTCACACATAATAAGAGCAAAAATGGCAGATGATACCCAAAACCTAAGACGGTCTTTGAAAGGAGAGGTGTCATAGTCAAAAATGCATTTGAAAGAACAGAATCATTATTTGTGAAATGTGGCATAAAAGCAAAAGTCATGTTACAAACAAGAACGAGTATCCCAAATAGATTATTATCTTGCTTAAAGAAAACCAACAATAACACGACATGTACTATGGCCAAAAATATAGTTGAAAAAATGGTGAATTTGATATTCAAGAGTTATCAAGCCAAGAAAAGTTCATAGTCAAATTGAATAACTAGTGGTGCGATTTTATAGTGTTTCAATATTTCTTATTATCTTCCTCACATGTTATCGTCGCGTGTTTCTTATTATATTTACAAATTAGTATAAATGTTGATCTACTATAAAAGTTAGATATAATTTATAAAACACATAAACATCAATTATATCTAATACAACGTGAATATTATTGGTCTCATTATATATTAATAAATTTCAAGTATGAACTTAACTATATAATGTAAACACACGTTCATGAAATGAATACACCAAATTCAAATAGACAAAAAAAATGTTCATTTTAACCTAATAAAGGTTATAATCATAATAATGATTAGTATAAACAATGATATTATAATATACATTTTAGTTTTAATAGACTATTATTATTTGATATATATATATATATATATATATATATATATATATATATATTAATTAGGATAAAATATGTTTTTTATACAATAATTATATAAATATTTATATTTAATATAATTAAAATATTGTCTAATTTTCATATAATACCCCAATTACTCTATTGAATTTTTAATTGTCATCAAGTAACTTGTATACTAACGAGTGTAATTTCAGTAGGACATTTTAATTTCATAAAAGGTTATGGCTAATCGCAAAGATGTAAATATTTTAGGGATTTTGTTCAAATATTTATATTTAGAATTGTTCAAATAACACTTAAATTTGTAAATATGAATATACACACCATAAAACTAAACTTTTCTAATAGTGAATAATTAATAGTGTATGAAAATCAGTAATTTTTTAAGTGTCCTAAACATAGATATTTTTCATAATTATTTTATAAAAGCTTATTTTATTCTATATGTTATTCATTTTCACTATACAATTAAAGCATAAGAAAATTAAATGACACAAAACATTAAATGATTAAAGATATAGTCAATTTTAATTTAATTTTTAATTTAACTTAAATTTTTCAAACTTATTTTCACTTTTTAATTTAATTTTTCAATTTTAATAATCATTGTATAAAACATAAAAACATTACATATTCATATATTTTTAATTAAATTAAAAAACATTAAGCTAAAAAAAATAAATTTACATTATATAGCACAAATTCAGCATTAATATTAAAAAAATCATAAAATAATATTATATAACACAACTTAAAAAAAAATTAAAATTTAATGATTAAGGCGTGCTTCAAAGCACGAACTGCCCACAAGTTTTTTTAAGATATCTTATTTTGATAAATTATCAAAATTACATTTTGGTAAATGTGAACGTGCTCTGTAAATAAAACTAGCTATCTAGCTTTTATTATTTTCCATTTTTATCTGCTTTGAATCATTATTATATTAGTTTTGCGAAAAACAAATACTATGTTGACATTCATATTTTTATTTGGTCCTCCCATTTAGGTTAAATGTTTTCCTTTTTATAAAGTTGATAATTAGCCTGAATAGAAATGAGATAAAGTAAGCAAATATTATTAAGTTATTATGTGTAAATTTCTTCTAAATTTTTTTATAAATTCCTAATGAATTTGCCCTGCTGTGCTCATTCAAGAACAACAACAACTCCTCATCATTTTCTTTTTCTAAATGAGAATAAGCCTTCTCAACATAGCTGAAGTCACGTCCATACATATACGATGCACATGCTGCTTTGTATGTGAGTAACTGCAAATCACCTGACACAAGGGACACTCGTTAACATGATTAAAAATAAAACAATAATAGTGAATGAACATGTTACAATATTTCAAGTTGATATACACCAATATTATAATTTTACTGTCATTTAATCAAAATGCTAGTTTCAACATCATGAGAAGAGTTTGACCTCGTGCTACCTACCAATGATATTATTGAGTTAAACACTAAAAATGTATACCTGATTCAATCTCTAATTCTAACTTGCTATTGCTGAAATGTCTTGTTAGCCACCACCTACAGCGAAGCTTCCAAGATTTTCCTGATATACCATCCGTAAATATTTTAGGGATTTTGCTGAAGGAACAAAGTTGCTTGTGTCCATCTTCAGCTTGAATGGGGCATGAAGACATACAGTCTTCTTCGTAGGTAGACAGTCTCAAGAAACATGAAGAGAACACCTTCCACAAATTGTGTTCTGCATCTGTAACATCTAAATGTAAAGCAATCATTTCCAGCAGAGACTCAAGACTATAGTATCCTGCAAAGTACCAAAGAGACAATTAACAACATAGACATAATGTAGTAGTATAAAGCATATAAAGATATTGCTTAATCTGTAGCAGAGGACGAAGTAATCACAACAAATATTTCTTAGTATGTACTTAGAGGACCAAGGGGCGACATCCACTCAGGGACAACTTATTCAAATTTGAAGATGATAATGTTGGAATAAATTAGAAAATATATGTAATCATTATACCTAAGGTAGGAGGTTGAGTGTTAGATAATCTCTGCAGGGGGTTGAGTGTTAGATAATCTCTGCACCTAGTTTTGAGGAGTAATCTAGGACTGTGCATTTAATGTAATCTCCATATTGTATCAGTTTTTATCTATATAAATACAGAACTATGAGAGGGGTTCTTCAAGCCCTCTAAAAACACTTTTTCTCAGTTTTTGAATATCAAGTTGGTATCAGAGCGGGTCGATCCCGCTCTGCCTGTTTCTGTAGTATCCGGCACTGTTTTTGCCGCTGTCTGCCGCCGGCCACCGTCTGCTGCCGGCCACCGTCCGCCGCCGGCCGCCTCCAGCCACCGTCTCCGATGGTCCAGTTTTCGCCGGCGACCACCGGATCTGAATCGTCTCGCCGTGCGACAGCCAACCCCGTCAGTCCCGGAAGCTCGTTCTCCGCCACGCGCCGCCTCTTCATTTCGGTGAAGTCCAATAGTCACCCTTGCGAAAATCACTCTTGGGCTTTCGGACTTCTTTGCTGTTTTCGCCCCCCTCCTCACTGGTCTTTGTCCTCTTGATCAGAAATGGCTGCAATTTCATTCTCTGGAAGCCCCTCCATTACTTCCGAAAAACTAAACGGACAAAATTATCTATCTTGGTCTGCTACCGTCGAAATGTGGTTTCTCGGTCAGGGACATCACGACCACCTTGAAAAAGATGGAAGCCATGTGCCGGAAGAAAAAGCTGAACAGTGGAAACAGGCAGATTTTCAGCTATGTGCTCTATTGTGGCAATCAGTGGAACCAAGACTTTTGATGTCGCTTAGAGCCTTCAAAACTTGTCACTCCTTTTGGAAGAAAGCTCAAACCATTTATGCCAATGATATTCAACGTCTCTACGATTCCGCAAATAAGCTGGCATCTCTAAAAATGACAGATCATGATATGGTGTCCTTTATGAATGACGCCCAGTCGGCTGTGGAAGAACTCAAGATGTTCTTGGAAGTCGATTCCTTAGATGAAATGAAAAAGAAGCTTGACAAGTATTACATGGTGATGATCCTTCGCGTAATACATCCTGACTTTAACCATATCAGAGATCAACTTCTAACCACTTATGAAGTCCCTTCCATGGATACCCTTATCACACGTCTGATTCGTGTACCAATGTTTGAGACTCAGGAAGCTCTGGCTCTAGTAGAACCATCTGCCATGGTTGCCACACGAGGAAGAGGAGGACGTGGCACCAGAGGAGGAGGTCGAGGACGTCCCCAATGCACCTACTGTAAGAGGATGGGTCATACACAGGAGACCTGCTACTCTTTGCATGGTTTTCCTCCCAAAACTGCTAATGTCTCCAAGGCTGAAACCGTCAACTCCAAGTTCACTGAGGACGAATACCAAGAGTATCTACGGTTAAAGTCTAATAGCTTGGCACATACCTCTCAAACTGCCAGCACATCAACTGCTTGCATTTCTCAATCTATGGAGGGTCAAAATTCATGGGTAATTGACTCTGGTGCTTCTGATCATATATCTGGTAATACCTCCTTGTTCTCAACCATTTCCTTTCAAGAAAAACAACATTTCATAACCCTTGCAGATGGCTCTAAAGCTTCCTCAAAGGGAGTGGGCCAAGTTTCTTTATCTCCCTCCATAAGCCTAAAATCTGTCCTTTTTATTCCTAATTGTCCTTTCAATTTGATTTCCTTAAGTCAGTTAACCAAAACCTTAAATTGTTCAATAACCTTCGATAACAAATCTTTTGTTATACAGGAGCGTGGTTCGGGGAGACAGATTGGAGAAGGATATGAAGCTGGAGGATTATACCTTTTTGGTCCTCGTCCATGTGTGTCCTGTGTTGCTACTCCGAGCCCTAAAATGTTACATGATCGGCTTGGCCATCCTCATTTGTCAAAATTAAAAAGAATGTGTCCTGAACTTAGTGGTCTCCAGACCTTAGAATGTGAGTCATGTCAACTAGGGAAACATGTTAGATCTACCTTTCCTAAACGGTCTCAATCACAGTGTACTTCCAGTTTCTCTATTATCTATTCTGATATTTGGGGACCCAGTCGCATCTCATCTTTTGGTTTTCGGTATTTTGTTACATTCATTGATGAATATTCACGATGTACTTAGGTTTATCTTATGAAAGATCACTCTGAATTGTTACCCATCTTTACATCCTTTTTGAATGAAATCAAGAATCAATTCAGTCAAGTAATCAAAATTTTAAGAAGCGACAATGCTAAAGAGTACTTCTCATCCACCTTTTCTACTGTTTTGAGTTCACATGGAATATTGCATCAGTCCACTTGTCCTCATACACCACAACAAAATGGTATAGCAGAAAGAAAAAATAGACATTTGGTTGAAGCTGCACATACTCTTTTGCTTGGGTGCTCATATTCCTGTCCATCACTGGGGATGCCATCTTAACTGCATGTTTTCTTATTAACAGGATGCCATCTTCCTCTCTCAGTAATAAGATCCCTTTCTCCATTCTATTTCCAAATAATCCTCTCTTTCACACATCTCCTCGAGTTTTTGGTTGTGTATGTTTTGTTCATGATATGTCTCCCGGGTTAGACAAGCTTTACGCTCGTGCTATCAAATGTGTCTTCTTGGGCTATTCCCGCCTTCAAAAAGGGTATCGGTGTTACTCTCCCGAAACCAAGAAGTACTACATGTCCGCCAATGTTACATTTTTTGAACAGACTCCTTACTTTTCTCCTTCGTTCAAGATGTTCATGTCATACAACGGGTTCTTCCCATTCCGGTAGTTGAGTCTAATATTTCCAATGTCTCTATCGATCTCCGTAGTGATCCAAGTCTTCCTGAACCATCCTCCCCTCAAATTGATGTTGTCAATCATAGGACCCCGATGGCTAGTCCTGTTCTCCAAGACGAGGGTGAATCCCCCACTTTAGATTCTTCTCCAACATCGCTTCCTACCATGACTCCTGGTGGAGGTGATTCGGGATGGCCCATTGCTTCGAGAAAAGGTACTCGTTCCACTCGAAACCCACATCCTATTTATAATGTTCTTAGCTATCACCGGTTGTCGCCTTCCTATTGTTCCCTTTTATCCTCGGTATCTTCTATTGCTATTCGAGAAATGTGGAAGAAGCACTTGATCACCCTGGATGGCGACAAGCCATGATTGCGAAATGCGAGGCTCTTGACCATAATGCTACTTGGGAGCTCGTTCCCCTTCCACCGGGCAAAAGGCGGTTGGTTGCCGCTGGGTATATCTTTGTTAAAATCGGCCACGATGGTGCGGTTGATCGGCTCAAGGCTCGGTTAGTTGCAAAAGGGTACACTCGGGTTTATGGCCTTGATTATTGTGACACTTTCTCTCCGGTGGCCAAGATGACCACTATTCGTACTGTTCTTCGCAATGGGCTGCCATTCGTCACTGGCCACTTCATCAATTAGATATCAAAAATGCCTTCCTACATGGTGATCTTGAGGACGAAATTTACATGGAGCAACCTCCTGGGTTTGTTGCTCGGGGAGTACTGAACTAGTATGCAAATTGCATCGTTCTCTATATGGCCTCAAGCAATCACCACGTGCTTGGTTTGGAAAATTTAGCTCCATTGTTCAAAAATTTGGGCTAAGACGCAGTGAAGCAGATCATTCAGTCTTTTATTGTCATACATCTCTGGGTAAATGTGTTTACTTAATAGTATATGTTGATGATATAGTCATTACAGGAAATGATACTGTTGGAATATCTCAACTGAAGTAGTACTTGTGCAGACATTTTCAAACCAAGGATTTGGGAAGCCTAAAATACTTCTTGGGCATTGAAGTAGCTCAATCAAAAGATGGAGTTGTAATCTCTCAGAGAAAATATGCTTTTGATATATTACAAGAAACAGGTATGATTGACTGTAAACCTGTAGAGAGTCCTATGGACCCAAATAAGAAATTAACAACAGAAGAAGGTGAAGTATTCTCTGATCCAGAGAAATATAGGAGGCTGGTCGGAAAACTAATTTATCTCACTATTACAAGGCCTGATCTATTTTTTGTTGTTGGAGTGGTTAGTCAGTTCATGCAGACTCCATGTGCTGGTCATTGGAATGCTATCATTCGCATTCTAAGGTACCTTAAAAAGGCTCCCGAACAAGGATTGTTATATGAAGATAAAGGAAGCATTCAGGTCACTGGGTACTGTGATGCAGATTAGGCGAGTTCACTTGTTGATAGACGGTCTACCACTGGATATTGTGTCTTCCTTGGAGGAAACATTATTTCATGGAAAAGTAAGAAACGAGAATGTAGTGGCTCGATCGACAGCTGAAGCCGAATATAGGGCAATGGCGTCACTAACTTGTGAACTTATATGGGTAAAACAGTTCATTCAAGAGCTTAACTTCTGTGATATACAGACTATGAAGATGTATTGTGATAATCAAGCTGCACTCTACATTGCATCAAATCCCGTGTTTCACGAGAGAACTAAACATATAGAAATTGATTGTCACTTTGTTCGTGAAAAGTTGTTGACAAAAGAAATATGTACCGAGTTTGTTGGATCAAATGACCAACTCGCAGATGTGTTTACCAAGTCCTTAAGGGGACCTCGGATTGAGTTCATTTGTTCCAAGCTTGGTACATACAACTTGTATGCTCCGGCTTGAGGGGGAGTGTTGGAATAAATTAGAAAATATATGTAATCATTATACCTAAGGTAGGAGGTTGAGTGTTAGATAATCTCTGCAGGGGGTTGAGTGTTAGATAATCTCTGCACCTAGTTCTGAGGAGTAATCTAGGACTGTGCATTTAATGTAATCTCCCTATTGTATCAGTTTTTATCTATATAAATACAGAACTATGAGAGGGGTTCTTCAAGCCCTCTAAAAACACTTTTTCTCAGTTTTTGAATATCAAGTGATAATAACTGAGGAAAAACTGGAGGCTAGGGTTCTTCAGTTCCTGAGCACTTATATTTCTTTTTCTGTCCCTATTCCCCTCTTCGTTTTCATCCACCCCGTTTCAAGCTGATATTGAACTCAACTTCAGAGAAATAGCGATATAAGTTAATCATACAAATGACATGATTCAGAATGAAGGTACCATTTTGGTGCATCTTGATGAGTTTAGCTAAGGCATCACTACATGTTGGATCTTTCTTCAATATATTCTCAAAACAGCTGAGAAGCATGACAGAGTTGTTTCGATCAAAACGCTCCAAGAGAGCAGCCCTCACTCTACAAGGGTATAGACATCAGTAACTAAAATAATCATAACAAAAAACACCTTCGAGTAAAAAGATAAGGGATATACCTTAATGGGAGTACCGAGGCTGTATTACGGCATTGCTTCTCAAGCATATTTAGAGTCTCGTCAACTTGTCCTCCAATCAGCAACAGCTGCCAATAAAAAACAAAGTGAAGCCATTGTTGATATTTCAAACATTATCCTATGAAGAAAACAATTGTCATATAATTTCTACGTAAATGCAAAATAAGGACGCGCATGTGCATCCAGAAAAGGGAACATGCTGTTAGATTAGATTGTAGAGTACGACATAATGAGTTGCTTTGTGCTATTTGAGATGGATAATGATTTCATTGAATTCAAGCTACAGAAATTTCCACAATGTGTGTAATAAAAGAAGAATATGGAAGGGGTAAGAACCAATTAGTAATTGCATACAGTTGCACAAAGGTCTTTCAAAAGACCAGCGCAAGAGAGAATTGTGAGCTTAGAGCTCTACGTACCTTGTACTGAAATTTATTATGAAAGAATGGGAATTGCAAGGATTGGATCTAATCATTTGATATTTAGAGTCTCTGGTACAACATTAAGAACATCCCAAAAGCTTCCAATATAAGGTGGAGGTAGAAGCCTAGAAACAGTTCTATATCTCCAAGAGTACCATATTTATGATCAAAGTCTCATGTCTTCATTATCATCTTGCAAAACATTATTTTTGCTAAAAAGGGATATAACAAAAGCTATTAGCCTGATTTGCAGTATTGGGAGCCAAAGAAAGCAGAACGATAAGCCAATTTCCACAGGAACAAACTACAGAGCTAGTACGAAAAACAAAGAGCTGCTGTTTAGTGTTGAAGACGGTTTTGGTGTTTTGCAGCAAGTGACAGAAATTATGTGTTAGATTTATTAGATATTAAATAGACAGTTCTACCTAATTTCTAGAAGCATGTGTATTTATGGACCGTATCTTTCTTTGTACCTAGTTTCTACAATAGGTCTTTCCATTTTTCCTCTACTCATTATATGTGAACTTCCATTAATTACATTTTTCTTCTTCTTTATCTTAAATTGGTATGCGGGTTGATCCTGCTCTACCTGTCCGCGACGAGTCCACCGTCGCCGCCACTATCCCCCTATAAACATGGCTTTAGGGCCCATAACCTCCTTTCATGGGACTCCTATTATAACATCTAAAAAGTTAAATGGAAAAAATTATCTATCATAGTCTGCGTAAGTAGAACTCTGGTTCCTAGGTCAAAGGTTCCATGATCACCTAAGAAAAGACAAAAGCGATATTCCATCAAATCAATAGAACCAAATATTTTGAGCACTCTTAATTCCCCTAAAACGTGTAATTCCTTTTGAAAAAAAAAGCCTGAAACATCTTTGCAAATGATATTCAACATCTTTATGATTCTATTAATCGACTAGCCTCCCTCAAACAAGGAGATAATAATATGATGTCCTTAATTGTTGAAGCTCAATCAGTAGTTGAAGAATTAATGATTTTCTTAGAGGAAGATTTAGTAGAAAACATGAAGAGGAAACTAGATAAATTTTATATGATTATGATTCTCTGACCACAAATCCAAAATTTGATCATGTCAGAGATCAAATCTTAACTAGTCAAGAAGTTCCTTCCATAAAAAGTTTAACTACATGGTTTCTCCGAGTTCCAACCCTCAAGAGTAAAAATGTTCAAGAACCAGAATCTTCCATCATGATTTCTATTCGCGGAAGAGGAGAACATAGTGGTAAAAGACATCTTCAATGCACCTATTGTTTTTCTTTACATGGTTTCCCTGCCAAGAGTGCACATATTTCTAAAATAGAAGGGATTGAGTCCAAATTCTCTGATGAGGAATATCAAGAATATTTGAAGTTTAAGTCCACAAGCACAATCATTAACAACTCCAAATTTGTCAATAGCTTGCATTTCCCAATCTGTGGATTGTCAAAATCCATGGATCATTGACTCAGGTGTTTCTGATCATTTATCTGGTAATCCCTTGTTATTCTCTTCTCTTTCTTCCCTAAAACTCCTCATTGCATAACTCTGGCTAACGATTCTACAGTAGCCTCTAAAGGAATTGGTCATATTTACATTTCCCCGTTTTTAAACTTAAAATTTGTCCTCTTTGTTCTTTCATGTCCCTTTAGTCTCATTTCTTTAAGTCAACTCACCAAATCATTGAACTGTTCAATAACCTTTAATGCCAACCCTTTTGTTATATAGGACCATTGTACGAGTCGACTGATTGGCGAAGGACATGAATCAAGAGGCTTATACTACTTTGAGGCTAAGTCATCAATATCTTGTGTTGCATCTTCATCTCACTTGAAAAAACTTATTTAGGGTTTGATACAGTGAGCAAAGACGATGTTACATTGTATTTATTAAAAAAGAGATATAATAAAGAGGATATGGGTCTCATCCCAAACCCTTAACCCTAACCTAAGGAACATTCAAAAAGATAGATGAACAACAAATCTCAACAATCTCCTAAACTGCTTCATGATCGCTTAGGTCACCCTCACTTATCAAAATTGAAAAAGATGGTTCTTGAACTGAGTAATCTTCAAACTTTGGAATGTGAATCATACCATCCAAGAAAACATATTAAGTATTAATTTCCAAAACATTTTGAATCTAGATGTGATTCTACATTTTCTATTATCCATTATGATATTTGGGGACCTAGTCATGTATCCTCTTTTTGTTTAAGATATTTTGTTATCTTTATTGATAAGTTCTCTAGATGTACTTGGGTTTATGTAATGAAATATCATTCTAAAATTTTGTGTATCTTCCATGTCTTTCCTTAATGATGTTAAAAATCAACTTAGAAAAATAATTAAAGCTTTATGGAGCGATAATGACAGAATATTTCTTCACTGCTTTTTCCACCACCTTAAAATCATAAGGCATCTTACATCAGTCTACTTGTCCTCACACACCACAACAAAAATGTATAGCAGAAAGAAAAAACAAACATTTGGTTGAAACTGCTCGTACCTTTTTACTTGGTGATATCCTAACTACCTGTTTTCTCATTAATAGAATGTCTTCTTCCCACAATAAAATTTCGTTCTCCATTCTATTTCCAAAAGAACCACTTTTTCATATTTTTCTCCATGTCTTTGGTTATGTATGTTTTGTTTATGATATATCTCCAAATATAGACAAACTCTCAACTAGAGTTATCAAATGTGTCTTTTTGCGATATCTCATCTTCAAAAAGGATATTGTTGTTAATCTCCTAAAACCCAAAAATACTATATGTCAACTAATGTCACCTTTTTTAATCAACTCCATTATTTCCTTTGTTTACAAAAGATAGTAATTTTGTCCAACATGTCCTTTCTGTACCCTTAGTGAAGTCCTTATTTCCCTCTGTTCCTGACAACCAAAACCTATTCAAGATTCAATGGTCCAAGGTGAGTCATCTTCAACATGTCCTTCTCAATCATCACTCAATACCATAACTCCTGATAATATTGGCCTATTGTCATTCACAAAGGTACTCATTCTAATCGTAATCCACATTCTATTTATAATTTCCTTAGCTACCACAAATTATATCCTTCATATTTTTCTTTTATATCTTTTGTATCCTATATTTCTATTCCTAAAAATGTGATCAAAGCACTTGACCATCTTGGATGGGGACAAGCCATAATTTCTGAAATGCAAGTTCTTGAACATAACACATGGGAGTTGGTTCCTCTTCCTTCAGGAAAGAAAACTATTGGTTGTCACTAGGTCCATACCATTAAGGTCAGACCTAAGGGTGAAGTTGACCGCGTTAAAGCTACTAGTGGCCAAAGGGTACACTCAAATCTATGGTTTTAATTATGGTGATACTTTCTCCCTCATGGCCAAAATGACTATTGTGAGACTTTTCCTTACCATGGCCACCATTCGTCATTGGCCTCTCCATCAACTAAATATTAAGAATGTCTTCCTTCATGGTGATATAGAAGAGGAAGTCAACATGGAGCAACCTCTTGGCTTTGTTGCTTAAGGGAGTCTGGTTTAGTCTGTAACTTATGACGTTCTATTTATGGTCTAAAGCAATTACCGCATGCTTGGTTTGAAAAATTTAGTTCCATTGTTCAAGTCTTTGGGTTGAAACATAGTGAAGCAATTCATTTAGTCTTCTACTATCATACCGTCCCTGGAAAATGCGTCTACTTAATTGTAGATATTGATAATGTAGTCATTACAGGAAATGATTATGCTAGAATATCTCAGCTAAAGGAACACTTATTCAGCCATTTTCGGACCAAGGATCTTGGAAGTCTCAAATACTTCTTGGGAATTGAAGTAGCCTAGTCAAAAGAAGGTGTTGTAATCTCTCAAGGAAAATATGCTTTAGATATCATAAAAGAGATCGACATGATTGATTATAAACCCGTAGATAGTCTTATGGACCCAAATCAGAAATTAATGGCAAAACAAAGTGAAGATTTTCCTGATTCGGAGAGATATAGAAGACTAGTTGGGAAACTTATTTATCTTATTATTACTAGACCTAATCTATCTTTTGCGAGTTGGTGTGGTTGGTCAATTCATGTATGCCCCTTATATTGATCATTGGAGTGATATCATACATATTCTAAGATACCTAAAAAAGGCTCAAAGGAAAAGGTTGTTATATGAAGATAAAGGAAATACCCAAATCTCTAGATATTGTGACGATGACTAGGCAAGATCTCATATGGACATATACTCTACTATAGGATATTGTGTCTTTTTTGGAGGAAATGTTATTTCTTGGAAAAGTAAAAAACGAAACATAGTTGTCTAATCATCTCATGAAGTCGAATATAGTGCAATGGTCTCTCTCCACATTGCTTCAAATCCAATATCCCATGAGAAAACTAAGCACATTCAAATAATTGACTGTCACTTTATTCGGTAAAGTTATTGTACAAAGAAATTTGTACTCGAGTTTGTTGGATCTAATAATCAACTTGCAGATGCATTGACAAAATCCTTAAGAGGACCTTGAATCGAATTCATTTGTTCCAATCTCGATATATACAATTTATATGCTCCAACCTAAGGGAAAGTGTTAGATTTATTAGATATTAAATAGACCGTTGTACCTAGTTTCTAGAAACACATGTATTTATGGTTTGTATATTTATTTGTACCTAGTTTCTAGAATAGGTCTTTTCATTTTCCCTCTCCTCATTATGTATGTGGACTTTCATTATAAATAAGAGAACCTAAGAGAGGAAGTTCAAGCTCTCTAATTACATGTTTTTTTTCTCTTCTAACTTAAGTTTATGAATAAAAGGTCGTTCTATCTATTTTTGTCATACAACAACAATAATAATATGCTATATGTGCATTTAGGAAGAGTTAGCATTTAGGTAAAAAAAAACAAAATATATCAATATTATCACACATGATAAGAATATCCTTTGAAAGGAAAGCACAAACACATCATTTTCCTAATACAACACAGTCCATGGATGCAATGTTAAATATTTAGAATGAATTTGATAAGTTTTGTAGGTTTTATATTAGGGGAAATAAATAAGGAGGCAGTTATATCTGTTAAAATATGTTGTTCATGTATCTCTTTGTATTCTTTTTGTATGTTCTTTATACTAGGGTTAAGGGTTTGGGTTGAGACTCATTCTCTCTATTGTATCTCATTTTCTATAAATACAATATATCAATGCTTTTGGTCAATGTATCAAACCCTAAATAAGTTTTCTCAAGTTGATATCAGAGCAGGTAAGATCCCACACTGATTTCTGGTCACCTGTCATTTCTGACCACCATGGGCCACCGTATGCCATCATCACCACCCCTGCACAACCCACCCCTGCAAGGCGCTCCTCCATCAACTGCCCCACACGTCGTCCCGAAGAACCTTCTCAGGTGCGTGTATCCCATGTGCGCCTTCCAGTGGATGGAATCAAGGCCTACCGCCTCCATTCAACTCACCGGTGTCCTTCGAGTCTAGTGGTGCCCTTAGTTTTTTTAGTTTGAGAACTATGTGTGAAAGGTCCCATGGATAACCCTATTCATTGGCTTTATTTGTCTTTTTTGGTTCAAATGGCCTCATCCATTGCCTTCACCTTCTCTACTACTCCCACCATAACTACTGTCAGGCACAACTGGAAAAATTACATATCCTGGTCTGCATTAGTTGAGTTGTAGTTTCTCAGTTATGGGGGCATCACGACCATTTGGAGAAGAATGTAGACTCTATTTCCACTATAAAAAGGTCTCAATGGGAGAAATAGACTTCCAACTTTGTGCAATCTTCTACTATGGTTGCTCCTTGTGGTCGAGGGGGAGAACGCAACAATCGAGGAAGACATGGTAGTACGTTAGTTCATCCTCAATGCTCCTATTGTAAAAGGATGGGACACATGTAAGAAAATTGTTATTCCTTGCATGGTTTTCATGACAATGACTGTCCATGCATCTAAATATGAGGATTTCTAATGAGGAGTATCGGGAGTTTTTGAAGTTCGAATCTGGAAAGTTTATAAGTCGAGTCAATCCTCTTCAATGCCAAGTGTTTCAACTACATGCATTTCTCAATATGTGGAAGGTCGAACTCGGATTCTTGATTCAGGTGCCTCTAATCATATATATGGTAATAGTTCCTCGTTTTCCTTTATGTCTTATCCTAAAATTTCTTACTTAATCACCGTAGCTAATGGATCCAAAGTGAAATCTCAAGAAGTTGGCCAAGTTCCTTTAACCCCGTCTCTAAATTTAAATTATGTTCTTTTCATTCCTAATTGTCATTATAACATTGAATTGTTATGTAACATTTACTACCAAATTCTTTTGTTATTCGGGAACATGGTACAAGTCGTCCGATTGGAGAAGGACATGAATCACATGGTCTACACTATCTAAAACCAAGTCCTTCGATGTATTCCTGGTTTCTCCCGCCCTTAAACTTTTACATGATCGTCTAGGCAATGTATGGGCGCCCACCATCAACAATTGTGCAGGTAGTTTGAGGAGAGATGAGAGTGGAAGTAGTCCAAAGAGATCTTTTGGACCGAGATGAGGCCCTGCTTCAGTTAAAGAGTCATTTGTCGGGGGCTCAAGATAGAATGAGAACTCAAGCAAATAAGAAGAAAGAATTTTGAAGCTAAAACAAGCATAAATCAGTAACAAGCGAGAATCGGTCCCAAGCTTCGTGCCAAGTATTATGGACCATTTGGGATTAAGGAGAAAGTAGGGGAAGTGGCATATAGGCTCAATTTGCCTCCAACATCAAAGATTCACCTTATGTTTCTCGTCCTTGTTGAAGAAGGTTGTGGGAAATTATAAAGTGAAAGATAAATTACCTATGCGACTTGAGGATGACAGAGCAGAAATAGTTGAACCTCAAATTATTTAAGCTGTGCGGAACATTACAAAAAGAGGTGAGATACTAAGGCAAGTGTTGGTGTAGTGGAAGGGCAAAAGTGTGGAAGAGGCTACGTGGGAAGATGAGGTTGCTATCGGAGTCAATTTCTAGAATTAAGCCTTGAGGACAAAACTTTATTTCAATGAGGGAGTATTGATACAGCCCCTAATACAAATGGGCATAATGCCATTGATCCAAGAAGCTAATACACATATGAGAAATGGTGTATGTGAGGAAGAAGCCTAGAAAGGGTGACATGGCAGACTAAGGGAAAGAGGTTAACTAGAGGACGAGAGAAAAGGGGAAATTCCCATTGTATTTAGAATCGGGTGTGGGGACCTTTTTGGGGATTCGATTGAGTGGATTGCTTTGGGTAAAGGGCCTTTGTGGGTGCTCTAAAGGAGTTAGTGCTCTGGATAGCAGGAATTTTCTTCCTTCTGTATTTCTTGCTTTCAATCAAATAAAATCATTCCATTGTTCATCACATTTATTGTGTATTCTCTATTTTACAGTGTTGAGTTTCTATCACTTTATATACCCTTGGTACAATTTGTCCTCATGAAAAACTAACTCTAACAAACAAACCGACTGGCTTATTGTCATTTAGTTAGTCACATAGGATACCTTTCTTATCTATTTCTCCTCTCAAACTCTTAACTCCAAAAAAATAGCTCATGGTACAAGGGCTACCCCTCCCTACTTTAATACACTAGTTTGATGATATCACCAGTTAATGTGAAATTTGTAACTTGTAAGGGTTTTGCTCTAGAGCTTAGGGAATCAACTAAACTTCTGATATCATATCAAATCAATTTTTATGCAGATGTGGTGCATAGGGATCTTGACCATGCCTTGGCTACTGGTATTTTTCCGTTACCCATGAAAGGAAGTTTCCCTTATTATGATATGCTAAGTCACTGCAAAAGATCCATCTATTGCATGTGATTGAAGATATCCCTTCTTGGGTTCCTTCTTGTCTCCTTAATATTTCTACATTTTGTTTCACATTTCCTCAAACCACTCAACATTGAGCTTCCTGGATTTCTCTGGGAAACCTCTCTGCTACATCATAACTAGAGAAAGAGTAAGCTCTCTGTCTTGTAAAATGATTTATCTGATAGAGGCCTCTAGTGTCAGATATTCCTATGTGGGAGCCCATCTGAACTGAAAATATTAAGCATTTGACACAGACTTCTTAAAATCATAAAGATTAGTCACGCATGGAATATTCAAAGTGAAAGAAAATTGTCATTCACGGCAGTTCAAAGCTCTGATCCAACAAAAGCATACCGGTTGGATTATCTCACACGTAAAACAGAAAAAAATAGAAAAAGAAACATGAATTGTCTCAGTGCCAAATTAGTGGTATTGTCTGAAGTTGCAAGTCGTCAAATGAGAATTCTACATACAACCTCTTTTCGTTTATCTTCAACATAAACCATAGTAATAGGGGAAGCTTTAACAAAACAAATCATAGGTTGCTGCAAACAAGTCATCATTGGCAAGAGAAAATTTACAATCTAGTCTTATCAGGGTAATGAGAAAGACAATCAATATTTTCAGTCTGAGAAAAATGAAAAATTACGCAGGAAAATCCAAATACAATCATATAAGTACATGCACATTCTAGGTCAGGAGTGCATCCACAGAAAATAGATATTTCTCCTGTTCAGTGAATAAATAACGTACCAAGACCATGTAAGATATCCTCTGTAAGACCTCCACTAATAGAAAAAGGGTCTTCAAATCCTTTTTGCTCTTCAGAATTTAAGTAAAAACCTTCTGGCTGAAAGTTCTGATGTGGTTTTTCTCTTTTAATAGTACCAACCTCCATGTCTTCACTGAACACAACATCCTTGGATATATGCTTATCATTCATGATAGAGGCATCTGAATCACGTTGACATTGGGAGTCAGCCATGTGGGATTCAACTGAATGATACCACTCTGACTGTTCAGTTTCATTCATAAATGAGGTTTCCTCCATTTGTGAGTTCTTTCGCATGTCAACCTGATCTGAGTTTCTCCACTGGAATTCTTTGGGGATAGAAGAATACCACAGCTCATAGAATGTCAAACCCATCATCATCTTCGACACAGGATCAATATCAACTCTCTCTTGCTCAAGGCTAAACATGAAACCAAAAGACAAAAATAAATGAATAAAGAAAGAAAAAGTAAGGGAATAAGAAGAAAATAAATAGAACCTGGTGATCCCCTTATAACACTATCTCAAACAGTGATATGTATTTTACTATTTTTGAAGTGAAAACCACCACTAATGAAGAAAAAAAAATTGTCAATGGAAAGTTCATATTTGAAGCCATTTAATAAGACACTTTGGTGCCAAAAACATATCATGATATTTTGGTCTTATTTGAGTCAGTTGCATTTATTCGAGGGCATGTATCTAGTACTTAACTGTACCAGTAGGGTAGTTACTAGGCAATCTAACCTATGTATATTAATAGTGATGGTAGAGAATAAATAAAATAACTACGATTGTAATTGCCAGAGCATTGAAACTGTTATATTCCATTAAAATAACTGTTATATCTCTTGGGTCAATTCTTGAATGGTAAGGACACTAACAGCAATGTATCTTTAAAAGCCACCATGAGGACTAATCCATCCCCAATTTTCCAGGATATATGGCCAGTCCCAAATTCATCCTTTTGGAATTGAGGCAGTGTCAATCATTTGGAATATTGACTTTATGCAATTATGTTTGTTTTTCTACAGAGATAAACTTGTCTACTCTAGATGCTCGTAAACAATGGCAATATTAAGTAGCATAATTTCATAATTAGCTTGATTTTATAAGAGGTAGTCAAGTACCAAGGCTCTGGAGGAATAGAATTAAGATACTATTCCCAACTGTCCGGAGGAATAGACACCAATGACAATTACCATTAAAACCTTATCAACCATTATGAGCAATTTAAGTTTTATTGAAAATATACAACCTTGATAAAAAATATAATAACAATGACTGGCAACCAGATCACCACATTATATAGTAATGATAAGTTATGAAATCATCTATTCCACTTGGCATCATGGTGCAACTCATTATTCTGCAAAGAATAACACATTCAAAATTAAAAAACATACCATAAAGCAAGCTGGTATGCATCCCCCGCATTGCCTTGCATAAGACAGAACAACATGAACTCGAAATGGACTGCATATCTGCTCTGCTCCATAAGCAAAATTCTACATTAAGAACTGAAGACTAAACAACCAAGCTGACAATTTCAATTCATGATTAATGTCTCAATGCAAAATATAATCTATTTAACAAGTAGAATTAAAGTCAGTAGATAGTTTGATGAGATTGTTTCCATTGGAAATGGTCGAGTTGCCCCACCAACAAGGTTAGACAACAAAATTGGGAGCAAACATATTATCACAACCTGATGGCTCTCATATAGCTTGCAGATCCAAAACGTTAATAATTTAAACATTACTAAAACATAAATATAGAAACTTAGAATCGTATATGGTTTGACAAAACATTTCTGTTTTCATCTAAAATAATGAATAAACTGTCACCTTATGTTTCATTTTGTTTCTTATCTTGAAATAGTGCTTTCCTCAATTCCTATACTAATCTTTCAAATCAAGAAACAAAGTGAAAACAAGCTAACATTTTTGTAAATATTTATGAAAATAGAAAATGGAAACATCAAACGTTTTCTTAAACCTAGCACATCTCTAGATAACTTCAAAAATGCAGCTTCAACATTGAACAGGAGAATTCTGCAGAAAAACTGGAATTGAATAATTGAGAATTGAGGCAAGGCTTTAGTTAAAAAAATGGCAAGCATATTATCCCATAAAATTGGTCGCATAAACAGTGAACAATAAACTTGGCATGTGGTAGTATTTAATAGTAGTAAAATTGTCTGGTATACCCTGATTTCTTCAAATTAGTCCCAATTTCACCAAGGAGGAAAAGAAAAGTATTACTCATTGAATACTTGATGTTTGGCAATAGACTCACAAGTCACAGCCATCAAGATCATACTTTTTTCTTTTATCTAGCTCCCGTCTTCCCTCTTTCAATTAGACTTTTCAGAATATATCCTTTATAATTTTATGAACTTGCAATTGATTTTCGAATGAGATAGGCTACCTCTCTCTTGTGAGTTTTGTTTTTCACATCATCTACTATAACATGGTGTAATAATAATCAAATTTGTCAGAAATTTAAGATATTTATAATTCATCATCCCTATAAAACAGGAAAGCAATATTCCAATACACTTTTCACCAAAAGAAAATGTATGTGCTTCTAAAAATTCCAATATTTTATTAAATTTGTTAGTTAGATTCACACAATTTATATTTACTAGATTGATACTAATTAGTTGTATCTACCTATGAGTTGTATCTTCTAGATGTTAATCTTTTCATCTTCCCTCTAATCAATGTATCTCTACAACCTTCCATTATAAATAGGAGGTGATTTGGGTTGTGGAGACACACTCAAATATTATAATATTTCTCTTTTTTCCTCTCAAGCTTTTATGTTTGCTCCTTTTGTCATTCGTAACAGTTTCTATCATGCTTAAATAGTATACTTTCTGTTTTACTCCGAAAAAAGTTAAGGTCATAAATAACCTTTAGGGGCTTCAGAACAAGCTATAAGTCAGAAATAGTTACTACCCGACAAGGCAAATTTATAATCATTTAAAGATGAAGGCAACCACTACAAAGCATATAATTGGAGGGTCTGAAACATGCATACCTGTAAAGGCCAAGTTTTCATTGATCCAATTTTCTTCGACCAGATATCATAAAGGTTCTTGATTTTAGTGGAATTAATAGAATTGTTTTTCATATACTTAAGAAGCTCCATCAAAACCTACAAACATACCAGCATACATGCCACTGTTCAGAAACTAACACAGGATATCAACAATAGAAGAAATTATAACAATAAAATATAAATTTGTATCTATCAAATGGCAATGATAATCAAACACGACAACAATATCAACATTTGGGAATCAAATAAAACTTGAAACCACACCACATTCCCAATTTCACACATAATAAGAGCAAAAATGGCAGAAGGTACCCAAAACCTAAGACGGTTTCTGAGAGGAGATGTGTCATTAAGTGTGCCCTTCAAGTAGGCACTGAGAACGCCACTGGCTGCGACCCAGTGATGCTGGTTGACGAGTCTCCGCAGCAAATAGCGTAACCTAGTACGGTGTTCCACCCTCAGAGGTTTGGGACCCAATCCCATGACATAGGAAGGCCTCGTAAGAGACAACAAGATTCTTTTTGCCAGCTTCTGTCGCGACTCCACTTGCCCTTCCTCGTCCACCATGTAATCTTTCCTCCTCCGCCGCTTTGATTTCTTCGCCGTTGAACCGGTATTAGGGGTCTCGGGTTCTGTGTCTGACATGATTATCTCAACCCTAGCTTTGCTTGAAGAAACAGAACGTGAGTGTAATTATCAAAATATCAAAATTAATTTTGCTATTATTCAAATATTTTTTAAAATTAATCCGCCATTATCCTCGTCTCTCGATAAAATCTGCAAAATAATATTTCAAAATAGTACTCTCGTTATGTGTCTGAATTGTCTTCTTGAACAGTACTACTAATTTATTGTTTTTCACCTACTTAAGTTTGGGTGGGTGGGTCAACTATAGGAGATTTGTAAAATTTTAGTCTATTATATATTTAAGACCATATAAATGTCAAATTATTTTTAAATCTTAATTGTAATCATAAAAAAATATATGAATTTTAATAATTTATATTTTAATTTATTATATTTAATTATATATTGTATTTAATTCATCAGGAGATATGATTTTTTTTTAATTTGTATGAAATTTAATCAAACAATCTTAATTATAATTTGATTATATTGAATTATATTCAGTTTAAATAAAAATAAATAAATATCAATGATACAAAATTAAAATTAGAAAACTAATTCTAGAAGTTTAGAATTTAAAATAATAACAAAGTAATATAAAATAATAAAAATTATAAGTTCCATGAATTGAATTTGAAACATTAAAAAAGAAAATAACAAATTTCATCAAGAAAAGATTGAATTGAAGACAATAATTGAAAAATATTGGCAGTGGCCATCGGTGGCGAGGGAGACTCGCGGTTTAGGGCACGGTGGGGGCTAATGGCGCGGCCCAAGCCCGCGGTGGCTGGCCGCACGGTGGAGGGATCCGGCGGTTCGGAGGAACGGAGGATTGTGGTGGCCAGTAAGAGTGCTGAGCTTGGGTGGCGAGGCTGGCTAAGGGGGTGATTTAGGGCGACCGGTGGGTGAGCGTGAGTGAGAGCTTGGGGGAATGGGTGGTATTGGTGGTTGATTTAAGGGAGAGAGGATGGGAGTGTGAGGGCCAGAGGAGAGGAAAATGAGGTCAGGGGTGGGTAGGGTGGAGGTTTTTTGGACTGGAAGACACGGTGAGGGTGAGCCCTAGAGTGGTAGACGGTGAGTCCTGGTGGCAAAGGTGTGATTGAGTGAGACCTGGGAGGAATGCGGAAAACGCGGCCCACGCTGGTGGGGCCCCGGATTAGGATGCAGAGAGGTCGTGAGGAAGGGTGAAGGTGAGGGTCATAGGCAGCGCGAAGGAGAGGGATAAAAATGGGTGATGAGTCCAAAAATTAAAATAAAAAAACCGGGGAAGATTCAAGAATAAAATGGGAGCATGAGTAAAATTTTACCTTCTCACCTCAATCATCCAAAATTCTCTCGTCAATTTAATGAAGCGCGGACCCGAGAAAACAAGTCCTTCTTTCAAATTAGTTACTAACCCTTTTTATAGGCAATCATTAGGTTAAAAACTGTTGCGCTCAAAAAGAAAAGATTCTTTCCTTTTTTTTATATATTTTTTAATTATGATATATATATATATATATATATATATATTAAAAGAAATCCTTTTTTCTTTTCCCTTTTTTTGTTTTCATAAAGAAAATTATTTTTTCTTTTTTCTTTTCTTAAAAAAATATGTAAAATGTTACTAAAGCAAATTATTATTATATTATTTTATTTTTTCCTTTTTTTATTTTAAAATGTTTAAAAGAAAATATTTTTCTCTTCTTTTTTTCTTTTTTTTATATTTTATTAAAATAAGTTGTTATTTATTCATTATTTTATGTTTACTGGATGAAATTGGGTGACACATATGACATGACCCGTATACTGAAAATAATAATTTTAAATTTTAGAAAAATTAAAAACTAAAGAAAATGTTTAAAATCAAAACTAATATATGATTATTTTTCAAAATTGAAGACATATTTAACTAAGTTATATTTATCTAAATTCAACTTGAGATTTAATATGCATTTGCGTCAGAGTAGTAGTACTACTAATTTATTATTTTTTATATTCTTAAATTGGAGTGTGTGTAGAAGTACTAATTTATTAATTTTGACGATTCCATTTTTGTGATGTGATAAAATAGGTTTTTTTTTTTAATGTATGTTCACGGTATAATAAATAGGTTAATTATAAATTATTTGGGTGTACATTTTAGATAATTTTTTTCTTTATTTTAAATGTAATTCTTTGAAAGTTAATAATTATAACTTTGTTATAATGTCAACACTTATCAAGTAACTATTTAAAAATCCCTTTAAATCCAGTTTGGATTAAGCGTTTCACTATCTTATTTTCAATACGCTTCCAAATATTATTTTCAACATATTATATAATTTATTTAACATTAAATGTTTTTATTTATAAAAAAATAATCAATGTTACATAAATGTATAAATTTATCATATTACGGCACCTGTAAAATTGGATGATAAACTAAGGGTGAATTAAAATTATTTATTTTTTTAAATGAACAAATCAAATTAAAAATAATTAAATATAAAAATATTTTTAAATATGTGAACGAACATTTCAAAATGAGTATGAACATAAATGTTTTAGTAAAATATGCATAACTAATTTTTTAAAATGCATATTTTTTTAAATTTATATTATTTTTTTCCTCTTTCCAATTAAAAAAAATGGTTAAGAAAATTATACATAGAGAGAGCCACAATTCATCTGGACTTTTAAGTTCTATTTTCCCAGACAGAACAAATCCATGTTAATTTGTAGGCTCTTAAACACACCATGAACCCTAATTACAAAGGCATATTATGCAAACTATGTAATTAATTTGCATGTTTTTTATTAATTACAATCATCCACTGTATACCCTGAGACGAGTATTGATCCTATCTCGGCACATGGGACAGTTAGTTAACTTGTATCCACAATCTCTGCAAGTCTGTGTGTCCAAAATATTGTAAGAAACAATAACAAAAACTAAGAACAATATGAGACAACAAATTTAGTGATGCTGATTAACTCACCATGTGTCCACATCCAAAGGCCAAGTCTCTCGGATTTGTCAAACAAACAGGGCAGGCCTATATAATTGCATTCCAACATCAAATCAATCATCAAGCAACCTTAAAAGTTCATAGGATAGAGCAAATCTTAATATCTATGGGAATTTAAAGGGAGAAACAACATCAATGATATACGAATAAGGAATTGACACAACTTTTAATGTAGAATATTAAGGGATTGAGTTATGGGGTTTCTTTCGTTGCTTAACTTTTTCATCACACTTATTTTTCATCAAAACCAGCATTGAAGGTGAGTAAAACATACTGATTGGTTTTGATCATCAATGGAGGATGCTGCAGCATTGCTGGGAAGACGCGCTGGTGGTGGTGCAGGCCTTGAATAAGGAAGAGGAGGAGGTTTTGGAACCATTCTCTTCGCTCTTCCTGTTACTCGACTATTCTCCAAACCACAAATATTAGTTTTTAAAAACTGAATGGTTCCTAAATAAAACTAATTGAATAATAATTTATGTTATGAGATGCTAATTAATTGTTCAAGCACTTTAATAAAAATTCATAGTAATTCAATTTGTTTAATCCTCTGGAATTATTTTGTCAACCCTAATAAGGATCATACCCGAGTATTCCAAATTCCATGGTTGCTTTGTATTGGAAGGGGATCTCCATGAGAGCAGCCAGAGCAAAAGCCGCTTCTTTCTCGGAGGGGCTTGTGTTTCTCGACATTATTTCCGTGAAATTAACAAACTGCACTCAAGGGAAAATGTGTTTTGATAATGAAATCATTACATATAAGTTATATTATTAATTCATCTCGAAACCCCTTAATTTTTTGAAAATAATAAGGCTGAAAGGGGTTTTAATGGTTTTTCAGAAACACTGGCACACATTAAATAAGTTAGAAATGGTGTGACCAGTTGAATAGGTATATTGTTTTTACCTGAAAATTGTCATAATCACGTGCGGGTATCCTGTCATCAAACTTTCTCATGTCTTCCCAAGGCCCGTCACCAACTCCAACCAGAACTATTGCAAGCGGATATGCACTTGTATCACAAATTAAAAAACAAAAATTTATTTTATTATTTAAGGGGGAAGATATTAAAAGAGAAAACGAAACACATTGGATATGGCTGAGGCTAGCTTCCATATATTTTCATAATTTCTTGTTTTATTTTGGCATGTAGTATTTTCACTTCAATTATAAAATTAATATTCTTGATAAGCATTGATTGAACTATATCTACCTTGCATCAACTATTGCTTTAATTGTCTTTTCTTCCTGAGGACTGAGTTCTCCATCTCCAGTGTTGACACTTCTTGTAACCTTCAAATCAAACACATTAATGTGAATAAGATTTAGGAAAATACACACACACACACACGTGAAGGTAACAATTATTTTTATACCTGGCCATCAGCAATTATAACCAACACATGGAATTGGCCACGGTTTTTCTCAACTATGTCTATGGCAGCTTCAATCACCGGAGCATAAGAAGTTGGTCCTTCAAATAAAATGAAATCCTTCCTTCAGCCATGAATCTTAACCAGTTAAAATATGTTTTTAGTCTCTTAAAATATCTTAAACATAGTGTAAGTCCTTGCATTTGATCAAAACACACGTTATTAATATATATAGTAAGACACTAAAACTTCATCATGTTTGATAAAAAAGGATATTTGAAGGACTAAACCTATTTTTGTTCTAAAATCAAGCATCACAGCAGCCACCTAAAAGTTTTCCAGCCAAAAAGCAGTTACTTAACAAACCCTTTTTTGAGAACTGATGTTATATTGAAAACTGAATTACATCTGCATATTTAAACACTCTCACAAACTTTCTGTTACATCAAAACATTTACTTCCTAACAACCAAAGAATCTCATAATAATGCTCCTCAATAACAATAGCTTCCTTTAAAAACTGTCTAGTTTCCAAAATGATCAGAGAAAACCGTTCTAACACCAATTATAAATTTTATTCTAACAGTTACATCTTCAAGAACAACACTACAAAAAAGTAAGGATGATAATGACCTGAAAGTTTCAAGTTTGGAAC